GCCAAAATGCATCTCAGGCACGTAATCACAAGACCCATTTCACGTATCAGTTGCATTTAGCAGAATCATGAGCAGAAAGTCCCTGAAAGACACGTAGGAAGTAATCTCACCATGGGCGTCCACAGATCTTATTTTTTCCTGGATGTCTGTTATGGTCCTTAAAACCATCTTGGGAGTGCCTGTGACTGGGCAGGCTTAAATGACGAGAGTATTTTCTTTTATTTCAGTTACTAGACAGATATTGTCAACATATACAGGGGAAAAGAGATGTCAGTCTTTATAATATAATATCAAGTCCTTGATCATCAAAAAATAGAGACGATATTCTCAAGATGCTACATAACCAACGTAAAGAATTTTTAAATGCTTAGGACATGCAGTGCTTGGTTGTTTTTTTTTGTTTTGTTTTGTTTAAAACCCCACCCCCGATATTGGAAATAATCATTTTATTTTCCCAGTGTCCGGCTTTATTGTTTATAATTTTTCCACTCCTTACAAAACTCAGGTTTATAAGCAACCCAGCCCTTGACACCAGTCAAATACAGAAGCTACTAGAAATTACTTGGAAACAAAACATTGGTGCAAATGAACTTTTTTCAAATAAAGATATGGATTATATTTTCTAAAGGGAGAATGTTCTTAAATGCAAATTGTACTGCAGCTGGCTCTCATTTACAGCTAATGCCAAGATTTTAGATTGGCGTATGTCAGTAATGACAGCTTTTTCTCACTGCTCTCTTCTTTCAGTATCGTCGCAAGTCTTTAACAGTGAAACTTACTTGAACAAAACTTCAATCAAAATGAATTGAAGTTTTATGTAAGCAAGAACTGTAAGAGCTAGCTGCTAATCTGCACCAAATGTTGGCATGCTTCTTCCTTGCTTATGGTGGGTTTTTTCCTTGCTTATGGTAGTCAATATTTCTTTCACTGAAAGACTGTTGAAAGGCTACAGATAGTCTAATGAATGAGAGATGTGTATCTGCTGAATTGCCTATGCCTATTGTAAGGTCACCATCTCCCACAGCTACATACTACGTTCTGAGACCTCTCAAAATGCTCAAAATGGCGTTTTTAACGTCCGCTGCAAAATTCCCCAGTTACAAAGATCACTCACTGGGTATTAAGACTACAATGGATTTAGAATTGACTTAAAATCTTCTGGATAGAGCTTTACATGCTATGATAGATGAATATGTTAACAATATTTAGGAATAGTCTAGTGAGGTGGAAGAGTCAAGCTCAAGATAGGTCTCTTCAGCAAAAATGTAGTCTCTCAATAGCTCCCACTTAATTATTTGCTACCAACTGAATATGGTAGTTTGTTTATCATTAAATAGTAGCTTCTCCGAATAATAACTTCTGTGCTTGATGTACAGTGTGAACAAGAATGCATGAGAACCTGTCTTACTGAATCAGAGCCCTTCCACAGATTGGCTGGTATTTCTGGCACCAGAGAAAGCTGCTAGAAACTTCACTGTCTGGAGTAACCTGTTCTTCAGAAATTTCCCTCTCAACTTTTTTCAGTGAGGTCATTATTATGCAGTTATATGTATGTATCAATCACTTACTGTTTGAGAGTTGTGTCCACAAAATAATGTCCTGTACTCTCCCTGTTTAAAAAAAAAAAAAAAACAAAAAACAACAAAAAATACCACAGTTTATTTCTACACAGCTCAGGGCACTTTAAATATTATTATCTTGAACTGTAGTAGAAAATGCTTGATAAAAGTGCCACAGATTTGTGACTTGTATATTGGTCTGTGATGTATTTGTGATTGTTGCTATAACTGATTTTTTTTGTTTTATTAATCTTGTAAATCACTTCTGTTTTATTCCAAGGATGTGTCAGAACAGATGATTAAAAACCTTTGAACAGCCTCTCTGTAACAGGAGGTGCTTCTTAATATGGAAGTAAAGAGGCTGTTTTGTAACTGTTGGTTATAAAATAACTTCCAGACAGTGAACTTACAAAACAAATTGGCTAAGGATACCAGAAAGTTGGCCTGGGGGCGGTATTGGTATGACTACTCCTCAGCTAAATAATATTTATACATGTCATATCTTTCAATACAGCATACTTGCATGGTATTCCAGTGCGGTTCACAGAATCACTGCGCCCTCTAGTGATCTGCGCATAATTGTGTAAAGTTTTATTTTCTTTAAAAACAAGTCAGTGATGTAACCGTTTAATAATTGTTATCCTCAGTTAACTGCAGTGTTATGCCATTTTACATAAGGCAGGTCATCTGCTGGATGTTAAAAATCTCTAATGACATCTAACTGCCAAGCTGTTCTTTATGTTAAACTATCTTCCTAGTAAGACGGGAACAATGCACTCAGGGTAGCCTTGGCCCAGCCTTGGTCTATCAGCGGCAGCAGTATCGGCTGTCTCTGCCCTGTCCTAGCGGCACGGTTCGTCGTAATGCAGTCCCAGGAGCCCAGTCTGAGCAATTGCCATTTTCCATTTCCTTTCCTTCTGTAGTTTCCGTAGTTAATTGCCCTTTTGTTTCTTTCCAGGCTGTCCTTTCCCTCGCTATTCATTAAATAAGTTATTTGATTTCAAAGTCCTGGAATCAGGCTTGCATAGCAGAAACTCGCTGTAGGTCCTCAAAATAAAGCAGCGCTGTCATGAAAACAGTGAATGTTTGGTGCTAATTTTCCTGTCTCTCCTAATACGCAGGCTTCTCTCCTACCTTAACATAAACGTGATGGCTGGAAAGAAAGGCTTTAAAGGCTAACCGTTACTTTTGTTAACACTACCTGATGGCCTACGTGAAGTGTGAAAGAAAAGATAAAATGCAAATGACCTAAATATAATCCTGGATGCTTTGAATGTAGTTTCAGGTCCTGATTCTGTGTCCATTTCTGTTGAAGCTTGATGCTGGTTAGAAAGCGAACAAAGATGTCTTTTTCTTTAAATGTACTTACAGAAGTTATCTGATGAAAGAGATGAACAAGTATAAGAAAATGAAGTTATTAAAGACAGATACTAAGTGAAAATACTAACTCTAATGGGTTGCCTTACCCAATGAAGGTTACTTCTATAACTCTGTGTCTTTGTAACTGCATCAGTACAAAGTGTGTCTTAATTACAGTGCGGGCACCCATTTTATTCCAGTTCATAACATATAACCGCGGTCAAGAATAACGTTATAAAGTAGAAAGCAAGAGTGCGGTGTTCCTCCCTGCCGTTAAATTTGCAGTTATCTAGGACGCAGCATGTATTCTAACCAGGGTTAAAAGTACATCCGCTAAGGGAGATCCCAGGATCGCCTTATCGTTCTGTGATTGCAGAGAAACAGCTTGGATGATACAAGAGATTATACTGTATTTTTTTCGTTGAAATTCACTCCTGAACCACTTAGTAGAAGATATATATGATTTCCCACTTACTAAGTCTTACCAAAACTAATTGGTTATATTTATCAGGTGATTAGTATCTTACAAAAGTCACGTGTGTGTAACCTGAAATACTGGAAAACGTAACTAAATTCAGTTCTCAGCTGATGAAAGCTATTTAGCTGCTGTCTTTACAGCTGAGGTGTAAAAAGAATTCAGGAAACTCTGCGACAACCGCCGCGCTAACTCCGTCCGTGGCCTTCGGCGCTACCGAACC